AAGCTTCCCTTGTCAGACACCTGGATTTGGGTTTCTGCTGTGTTATTTACTACCTGAAAACCAGGCAAGTAACCTAACCATTCTGGTCCCCGTGGCTGCTCTGTCAGATGAAGCTGCTAAGAGTGCCAGTCTCATCACAGTGCCAGGAGGAAGGGAGAGCACCAGGCCTGGGAGGAGCTTGCCCATCGCCAGCGCTAGGGGACGCCAGCTGTTACCGTCATTGCTGGGAGAGCCTGTGTTTTGTGGGTTCCACAGAGCACTTTCCGGAGTAAATAGCCTCCTGGGTGGCTGCCCTGTACGCCACATCAGGTACTTTGAGTCACTCTGTATCTGCTGCTCCTCCGTCGCAGGCTAGGTGAACACCTCTCCTTCCTGCCGAGAGGAGTGGGACGCAGACAGGAGGGACAGCTTACCCAAGCGAAACCCTCAGTCAAGGACATCCGTTTATAATATCGCTCCTTGCTTGGGTGGACTCGTTTCCAAAGGGCCCAGCCTTCCTCAAAACATTAGAAAACAAAAAGGACCAAACTCCCATTTCTGCCAGACAGATGATATCCAGGCATTTCTGGAAGAATGGTTAGCAAGCCCAGCATGCGGTTTTGTGTATTAAGGCCCTTGGATACGAAAGAGGAATGTAAACCCCGTGGAGCTCACTCCATATGTCACAGTCTGTTCTGGATCTTAAAGGGGATCACGGGGCCCCAGCAGTGCCCCAAGGGCTATGTTCCTACAGAGGCGTTCAGCACCATGCAACAAGCAGGCAGGGAGCAGGGCCCAGGATTTGCCAAGGGACCTGGTGAGTATTATAGCCGAGGACAGAAAGAAAATAATCCCTTGCCCTAGCAACCGCCAGCCTTCCAGAGCCCAGTGCTCACAGAGCCTACATTAGGACAATGTGACACTTGTTTCCTGATGTATTTTTTTCTTTTTAAGGACTTGGGCTATTTTTAGAGGTTCTTTGCAGTTGCCACACAAATAGTCCTAAGGGGACTGTTTTCCTATTCACACCACTTGCCCTGTTTCAGCACCACTGATGGCTCTTGTCATCCTGTGACCACGTCCCTGGTTTTCCCAGGTGTGGACACATAGGTCCACACACAACCCGCCTGTTGGCAGGAGCAGGTGGGTTCATGGGAAGGAGATGGCGCAAGAGAACATGACCAAAGGCCCTGGGAAATGACTGGTGTCTGATAAAGGAAGAAAGGGCTTGGAAGTACATTGAAATCTTGTATCCAAGAAGCTGAACGAAGAGA